AGTAATTTCTTTGTGTCCTTGAACATTATCTTACTTTCCCAATGTCGTGTTTGATTTTATTGCTCAAGTTCATCATTTATGAAAAAACATGTTGGAAAAACTTGATTTAAGTTGTTTGATTACTAATTTTGCATCTCAAAATGTGAGAAGACTAAATATGATGCTAGCCTAATCTCTCGGGTTGTAAGTGTTTTATTTTACAATTTTATCTTTTAGATTGTATGAAGTTTTCATTTGAATATAAATATTTTTTTATTTAAATATTGTTACACTTGTAAAAAAAATATATATAGGGCCTCAAAATAATTTTTCACTAAGGACCTCCAAATTCTCAAGGTCAGCACTGCCACCTAACATATACCCAACCACTCACACCAAAACCTAGTTCATTTTCCATTCAACCCCTCATTTCTCTCTCTCTATAAGCACATCTATCTTCATAGACACAGTGGTGACTACCATATATGATACCATAGCTAACCTTTTCCCTTGATCTCCAATGAATCCTCATAGATTACACAGTTGACGGGAGTCACCTGCAACAGCTACCATTATCGTTAGATAATGGCGATGATGGATTAAGTTCTAATCTACCTCTATTTTCTCTTCATCTAATTTGTTGTGATGTTGACTTTGTTAGTGCGATGCAAGTAGTGGTGATGGTTGTTGGTACAGGGGGCGATCTTGCGGTTGCGATGGTGGCGAGGTGATGATGGTGGTGGTGGGCGATATGTGGTATATGTGCGTTGATCTGTGTGTGTGCAGTTTCTGTGTATATCGATTATGTGTGGTGGTGCAATTAAAATGGCGACGATGGTAGTGGTTCGTTAGAGTGGTGGTAGTGCAGGTAGCGGTCATGTTGGCGGTGGCTCGAGGTGGAAAGAGGATGGTGGTGTTCGTGAGGTGCTGGTGATTGTTACCGATGCTAGTGGTGCCATGGTGGATTGGGTTTGGGCCGGTACGTGGTGGGATTAAGAATGTTTGTGACCAATTATTTGATATTTTGACGAATAAATTGGATATTTTATGATTAATAAATAATATGTAACCGATGACTATTGGCCAATAAATAATATAATATGTGGCCTAAAAATTTTAGTCGTGAGTATAAAATTTATGATATATGACTGATAAATATATTAAGACTTGTAATTTTTTTTTGTTTGTGATCGATAAATAAATTGTGGTTTATAAAATTTTTGACTTGTAACCTATAAAAATTTTTATTCGTGATCAAGAAATAATTTGTTTTCAATTAATTCGGTAATTTGAAACTCAATAATATAAAATTGTGATATTAATATATTTAATTAATAAAATATTTTTAATTAATTATTTTCATAAATAAGATTTAATTAATATTTGAATTTTTAAATTTTAAACCTTATTTCTTAGTTTTGAAATGGGATTATTTAATCTTTTAGTTATTAAATTGTCCCATAACAATTTCCAGAGATAGCACCTCAATCCTTGTTTAAGAAAAGGTTCAATATATTTGTAATCATACCAAAAATAATTCGGACTTATGGTATACAAACCTCCTTTGGTTTAAATAAAAATTCAGTTCTTAATAAATTTTTACGAAAGTTGATAGAATGTGTAACTAAAAAGTTATGGATTCATGTGTAATTAAAATTAATTATTAATTTTGACTTAAATTTTAATTCAATTTTTTTGGTAGAATCAAATGGGCTAAATGAGAAATTTTAATACCACCAGAGGAACAAGTTTGGACCAACTATCTACTAAATGCGTAATAGCCACGAGTAAATGGTTTGTTCCCCTTCAAACATGGGTGGAGGTAGTGGGACTCGTATAAAAATGGGAAAAATTCATTTATAAGAAGGTAAGTTTTCACTTTTTCAAAATTAACAGCAAAGGTTTGAACTTTCGGAAATCAGATTTTTAAAATTTTATTAATAAATTAATTTATTATATATATTTATTAATCAAATATATTTATGTCACAATTTTTTGTCACAGATATTTATTTAATTAGTCACAGATTAATTTTTAGTCACAATTTATCAAATTATTGATCGCAACTTATTTCTCGATCACAAGTCGAAAATTTTATAGGTCACAAAATATTTTTCTGTCATGAATCCAAATATTTTATATGTCACAGATTATTCATCGGTCACATAATCAAACTTTTTTAATGGTCAAAACTCATTTCCTCATTGCAAATTATTGAATTAATTGGTTACGATTAATTTTCTGATCATAATTTATTATTGGAGTCATTGTCACAACTTTCAGGTCATAATTTTAATTTTCTGATCATGATTATTGGAGTCATAGTCACAAGTTTCGGATCTCTTATTCAACCATTTCCAAAACTACCGCATCCACCAGCACAACCGCGCACTGCCTTAAACAATACAGTACATCGCCAGATCTAACAGAAGTCTGCCACTGCAAGCCGTCGCCACACACTAACACCATAGATCCACGATAGTCGCAGATCACTATCACCGCCGTCTCACACAAAAAAAAAAAAATTTCTTTAATCCTCGAAATTCTTAGTTCATTTTCTCACTTTGGTTGAGATTATTCACTCACTTTGAAACGTGGTGATATAAAAGATCGATGAACACACCAAATAACGTTTTGAAACGGTAATATATGGATTATAGCGATATATAATTGATTGCTTATTTCGATCAAGTTTTCGGTTGTTTGGAAAAACTGACTATCAAAGTTACTAGAAAAATATTCATTAAGGTTTATTAAATTTTTATTGGTGGATATGCATTTCTGTTTATTTCTATCATCATTTAGTTAGTTTATATTTTTTAAGGTAAGCATCAATTTTCTATTTGATAAATAGTGGAATATCTTAATGTAAGACATCTATTTTTTTAATTTCATTAAGTGTTGTATACTTTTTATCATGAATGTCACAAGAATAGCCTTCAAAACTCAATTTTTTGTGTCTTAAGTTCATTCAAAAGATTTTAAATTTCAACCCATCCACCTTCTTATGGCTCACCCCCGCCTTCAAACTAGTAGATTCTCAGCCAAGCCCTTGCTTATAGCATGTTTGGCTAAGCATAATAAGTTCAATTATAAGTAAAATGTAAATACCAAAATAAATAACCCTTTTTTAATTAAAAGTTTGAAATAAGATGTTACATACTTTGACGGTAATATAGAGGTTAATTTTTACCTTAAAAAAAAAAATGTAATTTGAACATGGTTAGAGGAATCAACAATTTTTTTTTATTTTTTTATTTTTTATCTTAAACTCTCACGTCTTCACAAGTTTTTAATGTGCGTTCATTTTCCTTTTCTTTTTCGGTAGTTTCACTGCATCACCAATATTATATATATATATATATATTTTTTCTAGTCGCCCCCGGGGCACAGTCTAGTGGTGTAAAGGATAGGAGTGAGGTTATCTTACGTTTTGCTGGCAGCCGCGGTGTGGGGATTCGATTCCTGAAACATGAAATTGGACTCCTTGTAGGTGTAGTATACAGACAGCTCTCTTGTTCCCTAACCTATTAGGGCACATCCCGCGATTTACCTCCCTCACAAAACTCTAGTGACGTGGCGGTGGGGGACCTCAAAGTTGGGGTCAACCTTTATTTTTCTAGTCGATTGACTTCGCTCACTTTTATTGAAATGGCCTGTTCAGATAGCTTGAGGTGCTACGAGTAAAATAAAAAGTTACTTAATTTAATGAACATTCGAAATTTTAAGAATTTTCATAATAATAATGTCAAAGAAAAGAACAAACAAGTACTAATCGATCACATGATCATTAATTTTCCATTTAAAGCCGTTTGAGCAGTGGATCTTTCAATGAAATTAAATGATGTGCCGCACCTTGCCAGTGATGCTACGGAACTAAAATATCCCTAATAAAGCAAAACTATAATTAGCTTTAAGTGTTGTTCTTTTCCTATTTATTTAGTATTGTTTCGTTTGGATAAAAAATATATTTTTAGTAAGGGGATGTTCGGTAGTCATTATAAAAATTGATTTTTTGATCGTTAAAGAGAAAAGTGAGTTCCACTTATGAGTGAAGAAATCAAAAATGACAGTTAAAATAGTGAAATAACAACTAAAAAATTGATTTTTTGGAATGAAAAATTGTTACCAAACAGGGGCTAAATTTTGATTAAAAAAAATATAATAGTTTAAAGTTAATAAAATTGTGAATCATATGAAATGTGTAGTTAAAAATGAATTTAAGAGAAAATAAATTTCAAGAAATTAGAGTCAAACAAGGGTTTAATTAACTATTTACTGAGTACGTGAGTGTAATATGTTTTTTTAGGCCCATTTTTTCAAAACTCATTTTTAACCATCCATATCATGGAATTCACAGTTTCTATTAACTTTCCAATTAAACATTTCATCAATATTTATAAAAGAATTTCAAAAACAAAATTCTAAAATTATATTGAATATTCATGCGTAATACGTGCGACATTCCCTTGCCCGCACGTCATCAAGCGCAAACGGCTAGAAAAAATAACATCCTTATCCTTCAAGTATTCATGAAAATCTCCCTCCCACCCTAGGGAAATGCAAAACCCGAGTGAAAGTCTAACATATCTTAACATATTCAATATGTTACATTGAACGTAATACACTAAAATCAACCTTATCTAACATATCTTAACATATTCAATATGTTACATTGAACGTAACACACTAAAATGAACCAATTATTATTGTGTTTGATACACTAAAATGAACATAATTGAAATAGTAATTTCCACTACTAGTCGAGCTAGTGGATACGAGGAAGTAACCCACATATTGTAGGGCTTCTTTTTGAGATAACCCCTTTATGGTGATGCCAATTTCACCAACATAACTCGATACACATTTGTTATATAAAATATTTTTCGTGTAAATCAACTTTTTTCTACTTTTGAACCATACACTGGATTTTCCAAAATGTATTATAGGAAAATGTGACTAAAAAAGGGGCATAATAGATGGATTTAAAAATTCTAAAATGCATGTCAAGACCTTAAAAAAAATAGTTACTTAATACTTGATTTATGATTAATCACCCAATTTAGACAATAATTTTCACTCTCAGAGTCTCACACGTAGAGAAAAAGGTGAAAAAGCACATGGTGGTACTAAAAGAGAAAAATAATTAAGGTTTACAGAGTCTACTTTATCACAAAGCAAGGAAGCACAACCCTCGGATTAAACACCAAGAGCTCATCATCATCGTCCAATCTTGAGGGAAATCCGTTTCCCCAACCCATAAACCGGGATCATCAAACAAGATGAGATCACGCCCGACCCGTTATGACCCGAGAGACCAAAACAAGAAAATTACCGAGGCTACACCGTGTACTCTATCACAAAGCAAGGAAGCACCGCCGTCGGATTAAATACCAACAACTCATCCTCGTCGTCCAATCTTGGGGAAAACCCAGTTGCCCGACCCACCAAAGAATCGAATCCTGGATCGTCCTTATCAAAGGAGACTGGATCGGACCCAACCCGACCCGCTATGACTCGACAGACCAACATGGCTCGTTTCATGTGCATGAACTCGAACTCTTGCTCCATCTCCTCCGGGATTGCCATGTGAGCCCTCCAACTCGTAAGTAGCGTCGAAATTCCGTCCAACTTGGGTGAGAATCCACTCTGTACAATCCCGCAAACGCCGCAGTACAGCTGATTGCATAAAGTGGAATTACCATTTTGCCCAAGGTCGCAGGTGTAAGTTGCACAGTGGAATCTCAACAGTTCATTGCCATCAGCTATACACCTCTCATCCCTGCTCTTCACGACCCCATTTTTGGCCGCCTTTGACTTCACGCACTCTCTGTACTCCTCGAACCTGGCTAGTATTTTGGGACTGTTATGAATCTTAAGGATCCGATGGATAATGGGTTCCTTCGCCTTATCGGGCCAACCCGTTTTGAATATGATCCTAACGACGTTCTTGCTCGTATCACCATCGATGAGCTCCGATACTGCATGCTTTGTTGACTGGTGCTGTTCAAGAATGCTTGATTTTTGGAAGATTTCGCCGCAAATGGGACATGGGTAGATGTTGTTTCGCAGAGGGAAGAAGTGTTGATCGGAGGAGATATCGGATTCGGGTCGGTTCGAAATGAGTGGAGAATCCGACACTCGAGTTTCTGGGGGTGTATAGTGTACGATAATGGGTTGATTTAATCGTAAAGAACGTGTGGAGGAAGACGGGGATGGGATTGAAGGAGCTTTATGCACCTGGATTGGGGAGGAAATGGTGTTGGAGGAGAAGATGCGTTTGATGAAAGACCAGGAAGAGGACAAAGCTTTTGGTGGGCAGAATCTACGGTGGCTGAGCTGGTGGTGATCAGGAGAACGCTTCCTTTTCCGCCGGTTTTGGTGGTGGTGGGAGGAGGAGGAGGAGGAGACGATGAAGCAGCCCAGGTGGAGGAAGAGGAGGATAAAAATGGAGAAAAATGGTCGGAATTGGAAGTTAGCCATTGATGTGGTGTATCATGGCAATGGCATGAATGTAATGCTGGGAAGAAGAAAGAATTAATGAATGATGAGAGAAAGGAGAAGAAATGTAAAAATAATAAAGAGTGGGGACGTGGAAGAATAAAGCTAATGGTGGGTGGAAAGCAACTTCGTGGCATCTCTTCTATCTCTGTGTGCCTGTATTTATGTTTTGTGTTTCACCGAGGTAAAATTTATTCACGGTGATTATATTTTAACTTTAATATAATTTTCATTCTATTTTATTCAATTGAATAATTATATTTTAATTTACTTTTAATCGAATAAATTCTGTCTAATTTCGACTTCTTGTCACAAATTTCATTGAAGTTGTACTTATCCATATCAGCAACTAATGATTATATGTGATAATTGGAACGAAGTTACTCTACTTGTAATCAATCAAATTGTAGTTATCTAATTTAAATAATATTAACGTGTAGTTATCTGATGAAACAAAATCAAAGTATAATTGCTTAATTGATGTTAAAATGAAAGAATAATTACTGCAAATAGAATTTATGTGTTAAAGACTATAAATATACAATTATTATTATTATTACACCTGAGGTAAAGAGCTTAAGAATTGATAAATTTCCATCTCCACTTAAAATTATATATATATATGAATTTCTTGAATATTTAAATTTGTATAAATGGGTGTATTTCAACGTTTTTAACGAAAAATCTACTTTTTCGAAAAGAGAAAAAGTTTCTTCAAAATCGAAGAAAGAAAAAAGTATTCAAACTACTAATAGTCCACAGAAGACTTGAAAAACTCCTTCTGGTGAGAATATTCAATCTTCTCATTCCCCTTTACAAGATATTGTAGTTCCACATGGAAGTACTGCAAATATATATATATGGAAATGACTTCTAAGTATCGGTGCTTAGTTTATGTTAAGTACCGATAATATGGCACAACATTTAATTGGCGAATAAGCTAATAGTAGATTCTATGCATTTAATGATTCAGTAATTAAATAGTGTGTCATGTCACCGATATTTAGGAGATCATTTTCATATATCATGAATAATCTCTTAAGCAAGTGACCATATTGAGGACAGACCAAAAACGTAAGTTTTGAACAATTTGGTTCAACCAAGGTCAATGTCGATTCTCCTTTCACGAATCAACTGATAGGAATCTATCCCCAAAAATTAAAAAGTTAACTACTTGTCAAAAGGACAACATTGATTCCATTTCCTCTTGTGTTACTTTTTAATGTATTAAAAATATATTAATTTTATTGGGTGTGGTTAATTATATACATCAATTGACGCTTGAACCACCAACAATAAAGGGCTCCCAATTTTGGAAATATATTTATTTCTTCCTTTTTCTTCATCATTATAAAGGCCCAACTATGAAAGTAAACATTTTGTTGGTATTATAATTAATTAGATAAAGATAGAACTTGATTGGCATAGTTAACCTATTTAAGTCCACTTTGGTGGAGATTAAATCAATTTTTAGTAAATTTTGATAATAATTAATGATATATGCAATTGAAAAGTTGCGAATCTTATAAAATATGAATTAAAGATAATTGATGACTTTGACTTAGATTAAAATCTGAATTTCAATTTATATCAGTCAAGGCTAAATAATTTTTTTTCCTTACTTATATGTTAAAAAAATGCTTATTTTGACAGTAAACCGAGAAATACTTTTAAGTCTTGCTTTTAAAATATTTAAATAAGTTACACTTATACTTAAGTAAGTCAATAAAACGTAAAACTTAAAGATAAATAACATATTTATATTGAACTTTAACGAAGAAGGCAATTTTTAAATTAAAAGCTATTATACTTATGAATAAATGGTTTATGCCTGGCCTAACTTGCCTTGTTGTTGGGTTTTGATACCTAATAAATGTCGGGCAATGAAGTTAAAAAGTTTCGAATTATATTTCATAGGCCTTGGCCGATGAGCGAATAATTATCAACAACCAAATCAAAAGGCTCAACCCCGACCCAATTATATTATCTCGTGAATGATTTTGAATCTTGACTCATTTAACCTTATTATTGGTCAATTTAAAGTCTAACCTAACCTTATATATGTACTTACCCTAACCATTTTTAGCCCCCGTTTGGTAGCAATTTCTTACCCAAAAAAAATTAATTTTTTAACCGTTATTTCACTATTTCAACCGTCAGTTTTTACTTCTTCAATTACAGGTAAGACCCACTTTTCTTTTTAACGGTTAAAAATCAATTCTCATAATCAATACCAAGCAAGCCTTTAGTGTATGATTTGCGTATGGGAAAGTGGGAAAAATGTGAGCAATAGAGAAGAAACGTGGCTGTCATATCGTGGAGAAAAATCAACTGCTTTGTGCTTCCAAAAACCAATGGATTCATCTTTGTATTAGATCTCTTCTCTTGCCTTCTTCCATTGTTTTTCCCATATCTTTGTGGCTTACTGATCATCACCATTATGTTGTCCTTTTTTGGTGAGATTGAGAAGTAACTTAGGTGAATATATTGATGGTGGGTTAAAGCCATTTGAATTAATTGGTTGGTAAAGAAAGGTGACGTGAAATTGAGCTCGAAAAACACCGATTTGACAATTCTTGGAGCAAATTTCCACGAAAATCGATATCAGAGTTTCAAGGTGGTGGATTTGGCATGAAAAACTGACCAAAAATGGCAGAAACGAAGCAGAAAATAAATCGAATTTTTTTTCGAAAATCGTGAAAAATCAAGGTTGTTTGTGCGATTTTCGGCCAATCCAAAGACTTGGTGGCGAAATGAAGACACTGGTGTGATATGTAGGTGGAGGCGGTATTGACGGTCAGGCGCGTGACTGGAGACTGCAATGGCTAAGGTCAACATGCAGAGAGTTCAAGTGGTGCGTGAGGACGCTTCTATGAGAATTCTCTAAGAGGTTTCTTCAAGCAGTTTGTTATTAACATTTTTTCTGACGTTGTGGTGTTGTTAGTTTTCCATTTCAAGTTATACAGTAGAATATGGAAAGATTTGTTCTTCCTACATTCAAGATTTGACTGTGGTTGATTGGTTGCTGCAATTGCTGGAGGCTTTAGGTCGAATAGTGGTGGTCCTAAAGTGATAAATTCGCATATCTCATAATTTGCGAACTCAGATATGGTCCGCTCGGTATCATGTTCTTTGCCATTAATTATTGCAGTTAAAACTATTGTATAGGGTAATAATTAATTTTTTTACATTAGAAGTCATCGATTGGGGTGACCTTATATTTGGAGTTACCGTGAAGGAGTAACTATTATTTATTGCTAGACTTAGAAATTATTTATCTTAAATTATTTGTAAATTCGTTGCCAATCTTTTCTACACTGTTTGACTTGCATGCCACATTATAAAAATTTGTTTAGCTATTCTGTGAGAACTATGTATGTATTTTGCTTGTAGTCATTATTTAGTATTGATGATATATGTATGTCTAAGGTAAATGCAATAATTAAGATGTGTTTTAACTACGATAAATTTGAACATGGTGAGATAGATTGTCCTAAGAATGGTAATAAAAGGAAAGATAAGGGGAAAGGTGAGGCGAATGTGGCTATAGGGTCAAGCGATGACCCTTAATGATGATTATTGAGAGTAAACCTACTTACTGCATATATTCAGTGTGTAATCCTTTCTACATGTGTGTGATTGCTTAATTCTGTTGCGTTGATATGTTACACTTTCAATTTATTTGTGTGTGTAACTGCATATATCATAGTACTCTTATTACTTTGTGTAATATGTTTACATACATAGTGTGTTGATATTCATGGCGTAATCCTTTTGATCTGTGAATTGTGTGAGAGAGTGTGGTAGTGAGAAGAAAAATGGGTAGTCGTTTTCTCCTTTATCTTTGTAAACATGTGTGGTTTGTGAGATTATGTGGGATAGCCATATGTGGGTTATCTTCTTCCTTATTTGTGAGTGTAGTGAAGTAACCAATTATTTTTTCTATTTGTGAGTGCCACCTTCATCCTTTTCCTTTGTCAATTTTTTGAACATCGGTAATTGGAGTAACCTTGTAGTGCATAAGTCAATTTAAATTGAGCCCTGACCTTTGTAGTTGTCAAAGGTGTTGACTTGCCATAGTGTGTTGGGATGTTTTAGTAGTATGTTGTGTATCCATTGGTGAAGTAGAGTATAAATGCCTAAGGATACATTGGTGGTTTGTACCAAGGATGTAGAGTGTGACATTTGGATCATGAGCGGAGAGGTATGCTCATGATTTAAATGCTGGATTCCTTTATCAGTCAAGAGACATTGACCAAGTGGAGTGTGAGAGAGGCACTTCTATCACTTCTGTTAAGTGAAGATCCAGTATCCACTTAGGTTGGGAGAAGTGATGTGGTGTGGAGAATTATCTCGAGGATTTCGGATTTATTGTGACTTACTGGTTAAACATGAGTTGAGTGATCAGTCTAATGAATATGATGGGCGATGAAAGGACATATGTATCCTCGAGATGGGAGCAACACGGAATGAATTGGCATAGTGTGGTAAGATTTTTTGGTTAGATCATTTATGCATTTGCTACATATGTGTTGGCTGTTTCAAAGATTTGTGGACACGTTTGAAAAGATTTGTGTTTTAATTTATCCTATATTATATCTTCATCGCATGTTTATCTATTTTTGATTGATTACTATGAATATTTGCTTCTACTTAAGTGTTTTTGACTTTAGCCCTAGTGAGAATATGGAACGTGTATGGTATATGTGTTCGGGTCCGAAATTTGAGGTAAGGTCTGTGAGCTTAATTAATTGATTACTTTGATTACGTAAGTATTGGCTGTGTGTTTTGATTGCTTGCAAGTTTATTAGGCAGAGATTTGTTGGGTTTTAATACACAATAAACCCCGTATAATGATGTTAAACAGTTTCGGATTATATTTCATAAGTCTCGACCGATGAATGAAATAATTATCAATAACAAGTCCAAAAGTTCAACCCAATTTAGTTATATTACATCTTAGATGACTTTGAATTTTGATCAATTTAACCTTATTATTGATCCATTTAAAAACTGGCTACATTGTGGTTCCAAAAATCAGCGGATTCATCTTTGTATTTTGGTCTCTTCTCTTGCCTTCTTTCATTGTTTTTCCCGTGCCTTTGTAGCTTACAAATCATCGCCGTTATCTTGTCTTTTGT